GACTTGATGGTAGCTGAAAATCAAGTGGCTGTCAACTGGTCGGAGGGACACACTTCAACTCCCACCAGGTGGAGAAAGGGAGGGGGAGTTAGCAGGAACGATGCTCACACCTTACAGAACAAGCACCACTCAACAAACCACCACCACCACAACTCATTCACACTTCTGCACTTATCTAATGAACCTATCCCTCGCATGCATTTGTACAGCAGGTTTGGTTCCAAGCTACTGTAGGGCTCCACTTACACATCAGGTTAGGTTTCAGGCTACTGTAGGGCTCCACTTACACATCAGGTTAGGTTTCAGGCTACTGTAGGGCTTCACTTATATAGCAGGTTGGGTTTCAGGCTACTGTGGGGCTCCACTTATACAGCAGGTTATGTTTCAGGCTACTATAGGGCTCCACTTATATAGCAGGTTGGGTTTCAGGCTACTGTGGGGCTCCACTTTTACAACAGGTTAGGTTCCAGGCTACTGTAGGGCTCCGCTTACACAGCAGGTTAGGCTCCGGGCTACTGTAGGGCTCCACTTATACAGCAGGTTAGGTTCCGGGCTACTGTAGGGCTCCGCTTATACAGCAGATTAGGTTCCGGGCTACTGTAGGGCTCCGCTTATACAGCAGGTTAGGTTCCGGGCTACTGTAGGGCTCCGCTTATACAGCAGGTTAGGTTCCGGGCTACTGTAGGGCTCCGCTTATACAGCAGGTTAGGTTCCGGGCTACTGTAGGGCTTCGCTTACACAGCAGGTTAGGTTCCGGGCTACCGTAGGGCTCCGCTTATACAGCAGGTTAGGTTCCGGGCTACTGTAGGGCTCCGCTTATACAGCAGGTTAGGTTCCGGGCTACTGTAGGGCTCCGCTTATACAGCAGGTTAGGTTCCGGGCTACTGTAGGGCTCCGCTTATACAGCAGGTTAGGTTCCGGGCTACTGTAGGGCTCCGCTTATACAGCAGGTTAGGTTCCGGGCTACTGTAGGGCTCCGCTTATACAGCAGGTTAAGTTCCGGGGTACTGTAGGGTTCCACTTATACAGCAGGTTAGGTTCCGGGCTACTGTATGGCTCCGCTTATACAGCAGGTTAGGTTCCAGGCTACTGTAGGGCTCCGCTTATACAGCAGGTTAGGTTCCGGGCTACCGTAGGGCTCCGCTTATACAGCAGGTTAAGTTCCGGGCTACTGTAGGGCTCCGCTTATACAGCAGGTTAGGTTCCGGGCTACTGTAGGGCTCCGCTTATACAGCAGGTTAGGTTCCGGGCTACTGTAGGGCTCCGCTTATACAGCAGGTTAGGTTCCAGGCTACTGTAGGGCTCCGCTTATACAGCAGGTTAGGTTCCGGGCTACCGTAGGGCTCCGCTTATACAGCAGGTTAGGTTCCAGGCTACTGTAGGGCTCCGCTTATACAGCAGGTTAGGTTCTGGGCTACTGTAGGGCTCCGCTTATACAGCAGGTTAGGTTCCGGGCTACCGTAGGGCTCCGCTTATACAGCAGGTTAGGTTCCGGGCTACTGTAGGGCTCCGCTTATACAGCAGGTTAGGTTCCAGGCTACTGTAGGGCTCCGCTTACACAGCAGGTTAGGTTCTGGGCTACCGTAGGGCTCCGCTTATACAGCAGGTTAGGTTCCAGGCTACTGTAGGGCTCCGCTTATACAGCAGGTTAGGTTCCGGGCTACTGTAGGGCTCCGCTTATACAGCAGGTTAGGTTCCGGGCTACCGTAGGGCTCCGCTTATACAGCAGGTTAGGTTCCGGGCTACTGTAGGGCTCCGCTTATACAGCAGGTTAGGTTCCAGGCTACTGTAGGGCTCCGCTTATACAGCAGGTTAGGTTCCGGGCTACTGTAGGGCTCCGCTTATACAGTAGGTTAGGTTCCGGGCTACCGTAGGGCTCCGCTTATACAGCAGGTTAGGTTCCGGGGTACTGTAGGGTTCCGCTTATACAGCAGGTTAGGTTCCGGGCTACTGTAGGGCTCCGCTTATACAGCAGGTTAGGTTCCAGGCTACTGTAGGGTTCCGCTTATACAGCAGGTTAGGTTCCGGGCTACTGTAGGGCTCCGCTTATACAGCAGGTTAGGTTCCGGGCTACTGTAGGGCTCCGCTTATACAGCAGGTTAGGTTCCGGGCTACCGTAGGGCTCCGCTTATACAGCAGGTTAGGTTCCGGGGTACTGTAGGGTTCCGCTTATACAGCAGGTTAGGTTCCGGGCTACTGTAGGGCTCCGCTTATACAGCAGGTTAGGTTCCAGGCTACTGTAGGGTTCCGCTTATACAGCAGGTTAGGTTCCGGGGTACCGTAGGGCTCCGCTTATACAGCAGGTTAGGTTCCGGGGTACTGTAGGGTTCCGCTTATACAGCAGGTTAGGTTCCGGGCTACCGTAGGGCTCCGCTTATACAGCAGGTTAGGTTTCGGGGTACTGTAGGGTTCCGCTTATACAGCAGGTTAGGTTCCGGGCTACTGTAGGGCTCCGCTTATACAGCAGGTTAGGTTCCGGGCTACTGTAGGGCTCCGCTTATACAGCAGGTTAGGTTCCGGGCTACTGTAGGGCTCCGCTTATACAGCAGGTTAGGTTCCGGGCTACTGTAGGGCTCCACTTATACAGCAGGTTAGGTTCCAGGCTACTGTAGGGCTCCGCTTATACAGCAGGTTAGGTTCCAGGCTACTGTAGGGCTCCGCTTATACAGCAGGTTAGGTTCCGGGCTACTGTAGGGCTCCGCTTATACAGCAGGTTAGGTTCCGGGCTACCGTAGGGCTCCGCTTATACAGCAGGTTAGGTTCCGGGGTACTGTAGGGTTCCGCTTATACAGCAGGTTAGGTTCCGGGCTACCGTAGGGCTCCGCTTATACAGCAGGTTAAGTTCCGGGGTACTGTAGGGCTCCGCTTATACAGCAGGTTAGGTTCCGGGCTACTGTAGGGCTCCACTTATACAGCAGATTAGGTTCCGTGCTACTGTAGGGCTCCGCTTATACAGCAGGTTAGGTTCCGGGCTACTGTAGGGCTCCGCTTATACAGCAGGTTAGGTTCCGGGCTACTGTAGGGCTCCGCTTATACAGCAGGTTAGGTTCCGGGCTACTGTATGGCTCCGCTTATACAGCATGGTTAGGTTCCGGGCTACCGTAGGGCTCCGCTTATACAGCAGTTAAGTTCCGGGGTACTGTAGGGTTCCACTTATACAGCAGGTTAGGTTCCGGGCTACTGTATGGCTCCGCTTATACAGCAGGTTAGGTTCCAGGCTACTGTAGGGCTCCGCTTATACAGCAGGTTAGGTTCCGGGCTACCGTAGGGCTCCGCTTATACAGCAGGTTAAGTTCCGGGCTACTGTAGGGCTCCGCTTATACAGCAGGTTAGGTTCCGGGCTACTGTAGGGCTCCGCTTATACAGCAGGTTAGGTTCCGGGCTACTGTAGGGCTCCGCTTATACAGCAGGTTAGGTTCCAGGCTACTATAGGGCTCCGCTTATACAGCAGGTTAGGTTCCGGGCTACCGTAGGGCTCCGCTTATACAGCAGGTTAGGTTCCAGGCTACTGTAGGGCTCCGCTTATACAGCAGGTTAGGTTCCGGGCTACTGTAGGGCTCCGCTTATACAGCAGGTTAGGTTCCGGGCTACCGTAGGGCTCCGCTTATACAGCAGGTTAGGTTCCGGGCTACTGTAGGGCTCCGCTTATACAGCAGGTTAGGTTCCAGGCTACTGTAGGGCTCCGCTTATACAGCAGGTTAGGTTCTGGGCTACCGTAGGGCTCCGCTTATACAGCAGGTTAGGTTCCAGGCTACTGTAGGGCTCCGCTTATACAGCAGGTTAGGTTCCGGGCTACTGTAGGGCTCCGCTTATACAGCAGGTTAGGTTCCGGGCTACCGTAGGGCTCTGCTTATACAGCAGGTTAGGTTCCGGGCTACTGTAGGGCTCCGCTTATACAGCAGGTTAGGTTCCAGGCTACTGTAGGGCTCCGCTTATACAGCAGGTTAGGTTCCGGGCTACTGTAGGGCTCCGCTTATACAGCAGGTTAGGTTCCGGGCTACTGTAGGGCTCCACTTATACAGCAGATTAGGTTCCGGGCTACTGTAGGGCTCCACTTATACAGCAGATTAGGTTCCGGGCTACTGTAGGGCTCCGCTTATACAGCAGGTTAGGTTCCGGGCTACTGTAGGGCTCCGCTTATACAGCAGGTTAGGTTCCGGGCTACTGTAGGGCTCCGCTTATACAGCAGATTAGGTTCCGGGCTACCGTAGGGCTCCGCTTATACAGCAGGTTAGGTTCCGGGCTACTTAAGGGCTCTGCTTATACAGCAGGTTAGGTTCCGGGCTACTGTAGGGCTCCGCTTATACAGCAGGTTAGGTTCCAGGCTACTGCTGTAAATTGAAACATACCCTCTTATCACCTTCAGATGCATCTAAAAGCCTGATAACATATATATTAAGTAAACAATAGAGCCAGGCCTTAAAAATGAATATACAGTACACACATTACCTACCTTAAAATGTTTTCATTCTTAGCTTATAGCGAATGTTGAATATATTTATTGTAGGAAATCTGAGTAAATGAGGAATGGGTATAACTGAAAACTGTTGCATTAGCAAAATGAGACACTGTAAAGTGAAGCACTGTGAAGCAAAGCATTGTAAAATGAAGCGGTGTAAAGCGGGGCCTTCCTGTATATTTCTCATAGCAGACAGCAGCCTATATAGCTTGTCATCACAGTTTAACTGTCCAAATGACAGACACAGTTACTCGGGTCGTGTGACTGTGATATACGTATTCGATTGTTTTGTACTGTGTAACAAGGGTATTCTAGTTTGACTATAGTGTATTTTGAATATATAATATTTGTACATATTAAGAATTTTGTATTACCTTGGTATCGTGTTTATTGTGTGTGTTTTATTCAAGGGTAAATTACTGTTTGTTGTTGTGTTTTACAAGGATAAATGACTGATGTTTGTCTTGTGTGTGTGTGTGTGTGTGTGTGTGTGTGTTTTAAGGGTAAATTGTTAATACTGAATTGTTTGGTGAACTTTCAGGTCTCCAAGATGGTAAAGTTGTTTGCAGTGTGTGTGTTATACAAGGGGGTGGAGAAAGCACACTTACTGAAGGCTGCCTACGACCTCCAACAGTTTAGTTTCTTCCAGCGAGGTTCCGTTCAGGAATTCATGGCGTTTACCTCCAGAATTATTACCGAGCGCAGTAACCCATGTTCTCGACAGTCTGTTAAAGAACAAGGTAAAGTGATGCATGGCGTGTGCATGTTTACGTTAATTGTTTCGTGTTCAGCAGGTAGGTCTGGGGTTACATTAACCCTTTCACTAACTGTGGCTTAGTACTGCAACTTCGAGGTCACTGTCGGTGCCATGAGCTCAGCTCACTCAGATAAGCTGTGAGCATAAATTTGGGCCTATATATGAGAGAATGGATCTATGTGATATGTGAGCACCACATGTAAAAAAAATCTTACAGCATGCAGTGCATGAGAAAAAACTGCGACTATTTTTGGTTTAAAACAGCGACTTTGCGGTGTATTTTCGTATGGTTTTTATGGTTGTATTCTCAGTTTTTTGGTCTAATATGATAGAATGAAGATGTATTACAGAAAAAGAGCTGATTTTGATTAGTTTTAGAACTAAAAATAGCTTGAATTTGAGTCAAAATATAGCAGAACTGTTCGATTTTTGCTCATGTTCAAAAGTAAACAAATCACATCACATGTGCAATACACGTCAACTGGTGGGACTAATATGCATTAACAAATGTGCTGATGTTATTTATACAATTATTATAATTGTGTGAACAACAAAAAGTCAAAATTGAATTCACGTGTAAAGTCTGGGAACGTAACTGATGAACAGAGGAAACGTTATTTTAGTGGGAGTTGTCACAGTTGCTCTTTGCTGATGACACTGTGCTCTTGGGAGATTCTGAAGAGAAGTTGCAGAGATTGATGGATGAATTTGGTAGGGTGTGCAAAAGAAGAAAATTAAAAGTGAATACAGGAAAGAGTAAGGTTATGAGGATAACAAAAAGATTAGGTGATGAAAGATTGGATATCAGATTGGAGGGAGAGAGTATGGAGGAGGTGAATGTATTCAGATATTTGGGAGTGGACGTGTCAGCAGATGGGTCTATGAAAGATGAGGTGAATCATAGAATTGATGAGGGGAAAAGGGTGAGTGGTGCACTTAGGAGTCTGTGGAGACAAAGAACTTTGTCCTTGGAGGCAAAGAGGGAAATGTATGAGAGTATAGTTTTACCAATGCTCTTATATGGGTGTGAAGCATGGGGGATGAATGTTGCAGCGAGGAGAAGGCTGGAGGCAGTGGAGATGTCATGTCTGAGGGCAATGTGTGGTGTGAATATAATGCAGAGAATTCGTAGTTTGGAAGTTAGGAGGAGGTGCGGGATTACCAAAACTGTTGTCCAGAGGGCTGAGGAAGGGTTGTTGAGGTGGTTCGGACATGTAGAGAGAATGGAGTGAAACAGAGTGACTTCAAGAGTGTATCAGTCTGTAGTGGAAGGAAGGCGGGGTAGGGGTCAGCCTAGGAAAGGTTGGAGGGAGGGGGTAAAGGAGGTTTTGTGTGCGAGGGGCTTGGACTTCCAGCAGGCATGCGTGAGCGTGTTTGGTAGGAGTGAATGGAGACAAATGGTTTTTAATACTTGACGTGCTGTTGGAGTGTGAGCAAAGTAACATTTATGAAGGGGTTCAGGGAAACCGGCAGGCCGGACTTGAGTCCTGGAGATGGGAAGTACAGTGCCTGCACTCTGAAGGAGGGATGTTAATGTTGTAGTTTAAAAACTGTAGTGTAAAGCATCCTTCTGGCAAGACAGTGATGGAGTGAATGATGGTGAAAGTTTTTCTTTTTCGGGCCACTCTGCCTTGGTGGGAATCGGCCAGTGTGATAATAAAAAAAAAAAAAATTGACATTGGAATATTTTGAACTTTGTGTGAAATGGGCCAAATTACCAATTTCTGAACACTATTGGGTACTTAAAATACAGGTTAATCATCACCGATCCAGCACCATTGGGACCTGGAGGGTGCTGGATTTGTGATTTTGCTGGATTACAGTGGTTAGGGTAGAATACACTTAACCCAAAGGCGATATTTACGCATTGGTGATTTCACCCACTTTACACCCTATTTTTGGCCCATTCCATTGTTCCAGTCCACCAAACTCATAGTTATTTCACTAGTACAGTGGACCCCCGCTTTACGATCCGCTCCCAATGCGACCAATTATGTAAGTGTATTTATGTAAGTGCATTTGTACGTGTATGTTTGGGGGCCTGAAATGGATTAATCTAATTCACAATATTCCTTATAGGAACAAATTCGTTTCACTACTGGCACCTGAACATACTTCTGGAATGAAATATCATAAAGCGGGGGTCCACTGTATTCCTTTTATTCTGTCAACTTAGTACAAGAAACCGCCCATTTACCTATTTCAGCTACCCAATAAAGTGGCCAGAAATCAATAATTTTGCAAATTTCACACAAATTTCAGGAGATGCCAATTTCAAAACAGGGTCCAGAATAAACAGTGTAGACATTCCTGGCACTAAAATAACATTTTCTCTGTTCATTAGTCACATCTCCAGGTTCTTTTTATATTACTCTTGCTTTCCATTTTGAGTTTTTATTCACACAAAAAATAGATGATTTACTGTTATGGAGCAACACCTGCTGTCAGAGCAGCACCTGCTGCCAGGGCAGCACCTGCTGTCAGAGCAGCACCTGCTGTCAGAGCAGCATTATTGTAATAATTGTATAAATAATGTCAAGCCATTCGTGACTGTGTATTAGACTGGCTAGTTGGACACGTATGGGATGGTGACGTCATTTGTTTACTCTTGAACATCGGTGAAAATCGAACATTTCCGCTAGATTGAGCTCAGTTTCAAGGTACTTTCTGTCGTGTAACCAATCAAACTCATCTCTGTTTCTGTAATGTATCTTCCATTCTATCAACTGAGACCAAAAAAATGAGAATACAATCATAAAAACCATACGAACATACACTAAATTTGGTTTTGCACCATAAACACGGTTGCACTTTTCTTGTTATACACTGCGTACTGCAGGATTTTTTTTTATGTAGTGCCCAATTACCACACAGACCTATTCTCTCATATGTAGGCCCAGATTTACCAGTCACAGCTCATCTGAGTGAGCTGAGCTCATGGCAACCGACAGTGGCTTCAGAGCCACCTTATCTTGTATGGACAATGTATGATGTATGTGCTTCACAAAATGAGAGGCATTTATATAATTCGTTGGAACCATGGTTAGGGCTAAAAGTGACCAGGTTGTAACAATAAATGGAGAAAAAGAAATCGGAATGACTTATGCAGCAAGTAGTGCCACCAAACAGTAGCGGCAGGTTGGTGACGCAAACTCGGAAATTTGAAATTATGATAGACAACACACTTAACAACTTTTCAAAAGCCTAATCTTACTTAATATACACTACATTCACTCATTCTACTGTGTCTACTACTTATACAGGACAGTAAATTCTAATATCAATCCTGACCTGAAACACTTGATAGTTGCAACAGAGCTCATGGATACAACACGTAGACACGAAATTCTCTGATGTTCCCTGTATCCGGCTTAACGTTTATAAAAACTCATTGTGTATAAAAGGACCTAAAATGTAAAACTCCCTACCTGATAACTCCAGAGCCCCTCTATATACTTGTTAACTCCAGAGCCCCTCTATATACCTGTTAACTCCAGAGCCCCTCTATATACCTGTGAACTCCAGAGCCTCTCTATCTACCTGTTAACTCCAGAGCCCCTCTATATACCTGTGAACTCCAGAGCCTCTCTATCTACCTGTTAACTCCAGAGCCCCTCTATATACTTGTTAACTCCAGAGCCCCTCTATATACCTGTTAACTCCAGAGCCCCTCTATATACCTGTGAACTCCAGAGCCTCTCTATCTACCTGTTAACTCCAGAGCGCCTCTATCTACCTGATAACTCCAGAGCCTCTCTATCTACCTGTTAACTCCAGAGCCTCTCTATCTACCTGTGAACTCCAGAGCGCCTCTATCTACCTGATCCTAGTAACATTTACTTGCACTGAAACATTCTTTCAGCCTCAGAAATTCATAAAACTGTATTTTCTCATATACTTGTCTTCATAGTCTCTAAAACTTAAACTGTCCAAACATAGATCTACGTTTGCACGCATATCGCTCTGCCCTTGATTTTCTCCATAAGAAAGAATGTAAAAAAACGTAGATCTACGTTCAGAGCGCTACGCGAGCAAACGTAGATCTACGTTCAGAGCGCTACGCGAGCAAACGTAGATCTACGTTCAGAGCTCTACGCGAGCAAACGTAGATCTACGTTCAGAGCGCTACGCGAGCAAACGTTGATCTATGTTTGGACAGTTTAAGGGTTAAAAAGATAGTCTACCTGCTGGCTTATTTTTGACCATCATTAAGTAATACCGCACCATTGTTATCACGTACCTTCTCCTGATTTTTAGTTCTGGCAGCTCCCAGTTTTCTCCGAGTTAGCTGTGTTATTTTTCATATGAAATTTATTGCTTAGAAATTAGCTATGAAACTATAGCTGTGTATAGTCGCTGCTTCCAGACTTCCAGTTCATGACTAGAATGCCATCACATGTAAAGAATAGTACCTATAATGCCATATACAGTACAGTCTCTCCTCACTTAGCGATGTATACATCCCTAAATAATGTATATTAGAGTTGATTTCCTCTATTCTTTTTATTACAGTATACAGTACACTACTGTATAAACATTTAAAAATATACCAGGAATGTTATAAGTGGTGCAAAGGTGACATTAAAACAATATCAAAGATGACTGACACAAACCCACTACCATTATAGTATGTTCCTCACTTAGTGACAAATTCGTTTACCAACGTGGTCTGAAGAACAGAATTCCATCGTTAAGTGAGGAGAGGCTGTAATGTATGGTAGGAGGTGCAGGGTTAGTAAAAATTATAACCCAGAGGGTTGAGAAGGGGTTGTTGAGGTGGTTCAGACATAGCAAGAAGATGGAACAAAATAGGATGGCTTGGAGGGTGTATAAATCTGTAGTTGCGGGAAGGAGAGGGAAGGGTTGTCCTAGGAAAGGTTGGTGTGTATTAGAGTGTATTAGAACGAAGTTAGTGTAGCCACGTGGGTTTTATGACTTGATGTGTTGTTGGAGTGTGAGCAAGGTAACATTTATGAAAGAATTCAAGGAAACTGGTTAGCCAAACTTGAGTCCTGGAGATGGAAGTACTGTGACTGCACTCTGAAGGATGTTACAGTACTGGAGGTGGGAAGTACAGTGCCTGCACTCTGAAGGATGTTACAGTACTGGAGGTGGGAAGTACAGTGCCTGCACTCTGAAGGATGTTACAGTACTGGAGGTGGGAAGTACAGTGCCTGCACTCTGAAGGATGTTACAGTACTGGAGGTGGGAAGTACTGTGCCTTCATTCTGAAGGATGTTACAGTACTGGAGGTGGGAAGTACAGTGCCTGCACTCTGAAGGATGTTACAGTACTGGAGGTGGGAAGTACAGTGCCTGCACACTGAAGGATGTTACAGTACTGGAGGTGGGAAGTACAGTGCCTGCACTCTGAAGGATGTTACAGTACTGGAGGTGGGAAGTACAGTGCCTGCACACTGAAGGATGTTACAGTACTGGAGGTGGAAGTACAGTGCCTGCACTCTGAAGGATGTTTCAGTACTGGAGGTGGGAAGTACAGTGCCTGCACTCTGAAGGATGTTACAGTACTGGAGGTGGGAAGTACAGTGCCTGCACACTGAAGGATGTTACAGTACTGGAGGTGGGAAGTACAGTGCCTGCACTCTGAAGGATGTTACAGTACTGGAGGTGGGAAGTACTGTGCCTTCATTCTGAAGGATGGGTTTATATACAGCCTCTCCCCACGTAATGACGGAGTTCCATTTCTAAGACCACGTCGGTAAACGAATTCGTGGCTAAGTGAGGATCATACTGTAATGGTAGTGAGTTTGTGTCAACCATCTTTGATATTACTTTAACATCACCTTTGCACCATTTATAACATTTCTGGTATATTTTTAAATGTTTATACAGTAGTATACTGTATACTGTAGTAAACAGAATAGAGGAAATCATCTCTAATATACATTATTTAATTATGCATACTGGTCAGAGAACCCGTTGCAAGTCCAAGTCGTCGGTAAACAAGTGCATTGCTAAGTGAGGAGAGGCTGTACTATTTGCAGTTTTGAACTGTAGTATTGGCACTCCTCTGATAAGACAGGGATAGAGTGAGTGATGGTGAAAGTGTTACTCCTTTTTCCGGTTGCTCTACCTTGGTGACAGACGACCTGTTAAAAAAATAATACAGTGGAACCTCGGTGCTTGAACTTAATTTGTTCCAAAAGGCTGTTCAAGTACTGAACGAGTTTTTCCCATAAGGGATAATGTAAATTAGATTAATCTGTCCCCTCAAGGGAGGTTTCTTGATGCTGGTGAGGGGCTCTTGATCTAGGGACCTGGATCTGCTCCGATTCCCTGAATTGAGCCTGAATACCTTTCATCCCCCCCTACATGCAGTGTATAATCCTACGGGTTTAGCGCTCTTCTGTGATTATAATAATAATAGACTAATCTGTTTCAGACCCCCCAAAATACCAAGATATGACTTAAGCGTCCAGAAAAATACTTTAACCCTTTCACTGTCGGTCCCAGAATATTACGGCTTGCAAGCCAGTGTCGGTCCCATAACACGACGCCAAAATTCTAGCGGCTTCCAGTTTTTCAGCTTCCAGCGACTTTGCGGTGTATTTTCATATGGTATTTATGGTTGCATTATTGTTTTCTTGGTCTCATTTGATAGAATGAAAGATGTATTACAGAAACAGAGATGATTTTGAATGGTTTACAGACTAAAAGTACCTTGAAATTGAACTCAAAGTAGCAGAAATGTTCGATTTTTGCTGATATTCAATAGTACATAAATCATGTCATGTGTCCAATACACGTCAACTGGTGGGTCTAATATGCTTTCACAAATGCGCTGATATTATTTGTACCATTTTTACAGTAATGCAGTAGTCTGCATAACAGTAAATCTATTTTTTGTGTGAATAAAAATTCAAAATGGGCAGCAAGGGTAATATAAGAGGGGCCCAAAATGGGAGGAGCATATAGGAGAGAGAGAGGGAGAGGCCAGCAGAAGGAGCATTCAGTATCTGTTGAGTCGTCTTGATAGCCGGATACTAGCGGTGGCGCGAATAAAATGTTGTGTAATTACGCTAATATTAGTAGTAAAGGTTGCCTATATATCACATCTATTCCAATTTGATATCAGAAACACGATAGATAACCTTGAAGCATGATGAAGATGACGAAATTAATAAGAAAAGGTATATATGGTGAGGCGGAGGTGGTGTTTACATCAGAACTAACACACTCAGATCATGTTTATCTTAACAAAAGGCTCAGAAATAGTGCGATTTTTCCTGAATACTTTTTTTCACAAATATTTTTTTCATTTTTGTGGGGTAAAAGTCAGATATTTTGGTAAATGTCAAAACCTTACGAACTTTATTTTTTGGGAGGAATGAAGATATGTTACAGTATATGAATCTTGCAACTAAACTGATTAGCCATGTTTTATCAGAAGAAAATGTCCAAACATAAGAACATAAGAACATAAGAAAGGAGGAACACTGCAGGAGGCCTGCTGGCCCATACTAGGCAGGTCCTTTACAATTCATCCCACTAACAAAACATTTACCCAACCCAATTTTCAATGCTACCCAAGAAATAAGCTCTGATGTGAATGTCCCACTCAAATCCAACCCTTCCCACTCATGTACTTATCCAACCTAGATTTGAAACTACCCAAAGTCCTAGCCTCAATAACCCAACTAGGTAGACTGTTCCACTCATCAACTACCCTATTTCCAAACCAATACTTTCCTATGTCCTTTCAAAATCTAAACTCATCTAATTTAAATCCATTACTTCGGGTTCTCTCTTGGAGAGACATCCTCAAGACCTTATTAATATCCCTTTATTAATACCTATCTTCCACTTATACACTTCGATCAGGTCTCCCCTCATTCTTCGTCTAACAAGTGAATGAAACTTAAGAGTCTTCAATCTTTCTTCATAAGGAAGATTTCTGATGCTATGTATTAATTTAGTCATCCTACGCTGAATGTTTTCTAACGAATTTATGTCCATTTTGTAATACGGAGACCAAAACTGAGCTGCATAATCAAGGTGAGGCCTTACTAATGATGTATAAAGCTGCAGTATGACCTCTGGACTTCTGTTGCTTACACTTCTTGATATAAAAACCCAGTAATCTATTTGCCTTATTACGTTACGCTTAGGCATTGCTGTCTTGGTTTAAGTTGCTGCTCACCATAACCCCCAAGTCCTTTTCGCAATCTGTATGGCTAAGTTCTACATCATTTAATTTATAAGTACTAGGGTTATGGGCACCCCAAGCTTCAGAACCTTGCACTTATCTACATTGAACTGCATCTGCCACTTTTCTGACCAAGAATAGAGTTTGTTTAAATCCTCCTGAAGTTCCCTAACATCTACGTTTTAATCAATTATCCTACCTATCTTTGTGTCATCGGCGATTTGCTCATATCACTAGTAATTCCCTCATCAAGATCATTGATATATATTATAAACAACAATGGGCCCAAGACTGATCCCTGTGGAACGCCACTTGTTACAGATCCCCACTCGGATTTAACCCCATTTATGGACACTCTCTGCTTTCCCGTCAGTGAGCCATGACTCGATCACGAGAGCACTTTTCCCCCAATGCCATGAGCTGCCACTTTCTTTAACAGTCTATGGTGCGGAACTCTATCAAAAGCCTTACTAAAATCTAAGTAAATAATATCAAATTCTTTATTGTGGTCAACAGCCTCAAAAGCTTTACTGAAGAAAGTTAATAAATTAGTTAGACAAGACCGGCCTCTTGTGAATCCATGCTGAGTATCATTAATCAAGCTATGCTTATCGAGATGGCTTCTTATAATGTACTGTGTTACAGAGTACATGTGTCACGTACACATCCGAGCGGACAACCTGGCCGGTGTTGTCATCTCTGACCACGAGTACCAGTATAGGGTGGCCCATAACATGATAAACAGGGTAAGTAACACTAATGGAAACACTGCGTTCTTAATGCCATTGATGATATGAACTTTTAAGTTGTGTTAGTTAATATAGAGGAGCTTTATAAAGGAAGTGGCTGTATATAGAGGAGCTGTGTAAGAGAACTGACTGTATAGAGGAGCTGTGTAAGAGAACTGACTGTATAGAGGAGCTGTGTAAGAGAACAGACTGTATAGAGGAGCTGTATAAGAGAACTGACTGTATAGAGTAGCTGTATAAGAGAACTGACTATAGAGTAGCTGTATAAGAGAAGTGACTGTATAGAGGACCTGTATAAGAGAACTATGTGTATTTACGAACTTGCAACACCTGGACCAGTCAGTATTAACACCAGGTGGCGTTGCAGGTGCTGGATGACTTCGCGGCCAAGGTTCCGTCGCACCTGTGGGTAGACGCAGAGGAGGGTGCTGTGCCATACCTGGACCTGCCGGCCACACTGGCACGATGGCAGAACCCCAGAGAAGCCGACTCACTAACCAAGATCCAGGAGGAAGTCGAGGAAACAAAAATTATTTTGGTAAGTCTATAAATGTGTAAAAATAATGTATATATACAGCCTCTCCTCACTTAACGACGGAGTTCTATTCCTAATACCTCGTCGATAAATGAATTCGTCGCTAAACGAGGAGCATACTATAATGGTAGGGGGTTATGTCGACCATCTTTGATATTGCTTTAATGTCACCTTTGCACCATTTACATGTATAACATTTCTGGTATATTTTTAAATGTTTATACAGTAGTGTACTGTATATTGTAATGAACAGAATACAGTGGACCCCCGGTTAACGAACTTTTTTCATTCCAGTAGTATGTTCAGGTGCCAGTACTGACCGAATTTTTTCCCATAAGGAATATTGTGAAGTAGATTAGTCCATTTCAGACCCCCAAACATACACGTACAAACGCACTTACATAAATACACTTACATAATTGGTCGCATTTGGAGGTGATCGTTAAGCGGGGGTCCACTGTACAGGGAATCAGCTCTAATATAGGTATGCATACTGGTCAGAAAGCCTGTCGTAAGTCTGAGTCGTCAGTGAACAAGTACGTCGCTAAGTGAGGAGAGGATGTGTATATACAGCACGCCATACAGCGTTCCACTAATACGGTGATTTCAAATTATGACCAAAATTTGCTATATGGTGAGCAGTCTTTCAAATACAGCACGCCCCAACCCGTTTATTTACATTCTCCATGAGCATATATCTATTATGTATGGAAATCTTCCAAAATTTAAAGTGTTTTAAAGCTATAACATATTTTATATATCTCCTGATAATTATACTTATGTGTACCTGTACCTAAATATGCTTACACACTGTGCTGGTGTGCAGGAACACTTTAACCCTTCGAGGGTCTGTCCCGTAGATCTACGGCTTACGTTCAGGGTCCAAACCGTAGATCTTCGTCATGAGCTCAGCTCACTCTGATAAACTGTGAGTGGTACATTTGGGCCTAGATATGAGAGAATACATCTATGTGGTATGTGTGCACCACATAAAACAGATCCTGCAGCACGCTGTGTATAATGAGAGAAAAAAAACTGAAATCATGATTTTTCGATTAAAACAGCTACTTTGCAGTGTTTTTTCGTATGTTTTTTATAGTTCTATTTGCGATTTCTTGGTCTCATTTGATAGAATGGAAGACATATTACAGAAATAGAGATGATTTTGATTGGTTTTAGCACTGGAAATGGCTTGAGACTGAGCTCAAAGTAGCAGAAATGTTAAATTTTTGCCGATATTCAAGAGTAAACAAACGACCTCACATGTCTAATACACACTAGCTGGTGGGTCTAATATGCATTCACAAATATGGTGATGATATTTATACAATTATTACAGTACAGTCGACCCCCGGTTAACGATATTTTTTCACTCCAGAAGTATGTTCAGGTGCCAGTACTGACCGAATTTGTTCCCATAAGAAATATTGTGAAGTAGATTAGTCCATTTCAGACCCCCAAACATACACGTACAAACGCACTTACATAAATACACTTACATAATTGGTCACATTCGGAGGTAATCGTTATGCGGGGGTCCACTGTATTGCATAACAGTAAATCTTCTATTTTTTGGTGTGAATAAAAATTCATTATGTGAATAAAAAATCAAAATGGAATTTATTTGTAAAGCCTCAAAACATAACTAATAAACAGAGGAAATGTTAGTTTAGTGCCAGGAATACCTACATCGTTTATTCTGGACCCTATTTTGAAATTGGAATATTTTGAACTTTGTATTAAATTGGCCAAATTAACCATTTCCAATCACTTTAATTTGTAGTTGAAACAGTTGACTTGGCGATTTCTTGTGCTCAATCGATAGAATAGAAGTAATACTAGTGAAATAGCTAAGAATTTGGTTGACTGGAATAATGTAATTGCCCTAAAATGGGAGTCAAAGTCGGCAAAATCGCCGATTCGTAAATATCGCTGACACGTCAAAATTCGCAAGAGCATGAATTTTTGTAATTTTTCCATCAAATATCGTACTTTTTTGTTTTATACCCTCACAAAAAAGATTCTCTACGCATTTCATAAGAAAATAATAAAAAAAATTTTTTTTTTTTTGAAAATTCTTGGACACTGGGGCACCACTTCAGATTTGGGCCTTGGACCCTGAAGGGGTTAAAATCACTAACAGTCTCTCTACTCTTGAAGACGCCATATTAATAATAATAATCTCTTGGGTGCATTAAATGTCATATGTTAATATAGATGTTTCCATTAATCCATCTATGATATTTTTCAAAATTATATAATAAACACGCTACGTAACATAAACATGATTCATACACCCACAGTATAAAAATTGACATAAATATTAGATTTGTATTACCAAGCGGTTGGGTGGTAGGAGTGGAAAATCAACGTTTTCTGTGCTCAAACCCCAGTAACTTTACTAGAAATTTATTACTTTCGTATGCCTTCACTCTATCTATAGCAATTCATGACCCTTGTGGGTATAGAGCTTCTTTTTTTATTATTATAATAATAACTTGTAATAATAATTTGTAATACAGTGGTCCCTCGTTTATCGTCGTTAATCCGTTCCTGGAAGTGCGACGATTATCGAAAAAGACGATTTTCGAATCAATTTTTCCCATAAGAAATAATGTAAATACAATTAATCCGTTCCTAACACCCAGAAGTATTAAAACAAAAAATTTTTTTACATGAAATATTGATGTAGTACATCAACAATACAATGGAACATGATGAATGAAACATTAACAGCATAACATTTACCTTTATTGGCGATTCTTCTTAGTGGATGGAAGACTGGAGGAGGAGACAGATTGCATTAGTTACTGTTTGGAAGGGGAATCCCCTTCCATCAATCACCCCTTAGGGTACCAAGTCCTTTTCGGGGTTATTCTCTGTTTCTTAATGCCACTAGGAACAGCTTGAGAGTCACTGGTCCTTTCTCGCAAAATAAGTGTCCAGAAGCTCTGTTTCTGCATCTCTTTAAAACTTCCTAAGGAATTTTTTGAAAGGTGGGGTAGGGATGGAAAATTAATGGAGAAACATCACCCTAGAAGGATTTGCAAGCCTAAAACGCAACTGTACTGTCGAGGCCAAGACTCTGGTCACTGTACAAGTTGCCGAGTATGGCTTGCAACATGGCTTCTCATGGGATTTTCTCCATAAAACTTTCCATCCTACCCTCTCACATTTCAAAATCTCCTTAAATTCTGAAGAAGGCACCTTCTTTTCATCGCTCTTTCCTCCTCCTATCCTATCCTCGTTTATTCCACAAACCAATAATAACTTCTCAACTTCTTCGAGTACTGGTGATCTCATTTTTGTCAGCATAATTTTACCCCCTTTGCAACAACAGCGTTCCTGGATTTCCTTTTCTGGCCACAAATGGTAAGATGTGTTGACGAGATTGTTATACAATCCTGGCCAGTTCGGCCACACGTACGACACTTTCATTTTGTTCAATGATGTTTCCTTAAATTGCAATCGTATTTCTCAAGCCTTCTTTACAAAGGCTTGTGCACAGGAGACTTTCTGGGTGGGAGCCAGGGGGGGGGGGGGGGTAGCTTATTTTAGCACTTGGCAAGCACTATAAGATTTGAATATTATGATAAAATTCCTGTATGAATACTTGAGGGGAATGTCCTCACATGGTAAACAATGGCACACTGGCTGGGAAGGAGGCCGAGGCGGCTTCAGAGCCGTGAGTACGCACAGAACAAACGGACAATTACAAGTCAACCGACCATTTGCTAGCCAATGTTTGGACTAAAATAATGCCACTATTCCTGAAAAGAGGACGACTATCGAGCCCGACTATTATCGCTGGACCACTGTACTAATAATAATTTGTCAGAGCATCATTCCTTTTCTAAAAATTAAACAAGACTGAAGTGTTGATCTTTATTTTTATTCTACTGTACCACTGTGGGAGACAACATTTACACAATGAAGGTGTTTGTATGAATGTTAATGAACCACAGCCAGACGCATCATCTGTTGTTTACATAGTGGGTGGGGTGGCCAGGCGGGCTACAATACCTCCCAACACTTTCTACAGATAATAACTTTTCACTCTCGCCCTACATAAAGACAACAAATATTTTAATGTAAATAACGAGATGTACTGTTTATGCATTTTTCCACTCTAGGGAAGCATTAAGCGCATCCGTAGTATATTATGTGTGGGTGGGTGTTGCCAGGAGGCTACACAACCTAACTCTGTAAATAAATGCTACTCACCTTTGTCCTACCATTAAGACTACAAATATTTTTGAGTTAAATACTGAGTATACTGTGTGTGTATTTTACTTATTCTGTTTTTTAATGCTAAGTTCTATTGCTAACTTAATATATGTTAGTGTAAACTTATCTGTCTGGCATTTAAAAGTTTGAAAAAAATGGTCGTTCCTGTTTCCACAGTAGCCTGGAACCTAACGCTGCCGTATAAGTGGGGCCGTACTGCATTATTACTGTTACAGTACTGAGACCCTCATATAGAGCACTATTTTCAGTATACCATGTTTTCATTAGGCTTTCAATTTGAGCATTGTTTCCACTCTCCCAGTGACGATCACTGCCGCGTGGACAAAATGAACACTGGGTCAATTGTAAGCCACGAAAACATGGGACATATCGATAATATGTGTTGTAATGCCTTCTCGGGGCACGTCCTGTATATACCTGCGATTATACTCGGGTAGATGTGTTTGTGACCTTGATAAAGCCACTGTATGGGTGGAATGTAGTCAGTAAAGGATCACATCATGTCTGCATTTTTTCTCTTGTTTCCCATCATGTCAGAAGCTTTATACCATTTATCTGCAGGAGCTTTATAACAGCTTTGATTGTAGTTTATTAATGTTCAGTAAAATTTTATAAAGTTAGGAAATAGCTAGCAACCAGTCTTATTTTAGTAACTCAGTGTTAGCTAACATTACCTAATGCTCAACAGAATTATTAACCTTAGTCATTAAAGTTCATATTAATCATCACAGCATAAGACGATTGATGCTGTGCTGGAACGAGAGAAAAACTTGACGAACCTGGTCAGCAAGTCAGAGAATCTAGAGAAGCATGCAGTCCAGACCTTCTACAAGAGCTGCCAGGAAGACCAACTCTTGTTGCAGCTTTGGATAACAGGCTGCAGTGGTGGTACTCTGAGTGAGTGTTTGGTGTGGCCTCTGGGCAGGATTGGTGTGTACTCAGAGGCAGGCTAAGGGGCACACTCTGGGGTAGGGCTTGGTGGGCACTCTGGGGCACATAGTGCAGCACTCTAAGCTTGATGCCACAGCTCAGAAGTAAGCTATGGAGCCACCTTGAGGTCAGCCTGGTACGCAATTCAGAAGGAAGCTTGATGTGGCCACCTCTTAGAAGCAAACTTGGTGTCACCACCTCAAAAGCAACTTAATGCCACACTTAGAAGCCAAACCTGTACTGGCACTTCGAACAAGCCTGTTGCCACACTTAGAAGCAAGCTTGGTGCCAACACTTAGAAGCAAGCTGGTGTCCACACTCATAGTGAGCCTGGCATGGCCTTGGTGTGGCCACTTATCAGAGTGCCTCTAGGTGCAACATGGAGACACACGAGATTACTCTGTATTAAACGTATATCTCCGCTATGAACGCAAGTGTTGAATGTCGAGTATACAACATTGAAACATTTTGAAAACCCGATCTATCATACATTGTCGTCCTTAATAAAGCAATTTATTTTCTGAAGTAAAAAATGTGTAATGTTTGTGTTTGGAAAAAACCCCCCGAGCTTTTATTGTAAGATAATGTTTCATGTGTGTTTTTGTGTAATGTGAATCCGTGGGAATACACATGGTTTATATTGTGATGTTTGTGGTGGTTATTTGTTTGGGAACTGTAATTCCTTGATGTGGTGACCTCTTCAAGGTGGGTTCCTTGACGTGGTGAAGAGATTCTTCATCTTGGGAATTGGACCTCTCATCTTCCTCAGGCCAAATCTAAATGTCCCTTACTCCTCCCTTCCCTGCCCCATCCTTCCCATCCCTCCTTTTCCCATCCTTCCTTTCCTACATTTGGCCTTTGGGGATCTTCCCTTGGAACTTATAGCTCCTGGGTTGAGGAAAGAGAATCGTGGTCTGTCCCCATTCCCAGTTGTAGGGTCCTTAGTGGTTGCAGACTGGAGCGCCTGGAGATGTGGTGATCCACACTCCGGAGTACCGGAGGGTGGTTTAGGGTGTCCTTCAGGTGATGGGTGTATCTCTGGAGGTGGTGGTTGAAGAAAGTATACCTTGCGGTCCTCTTCAAGGGGGCTCCTTTGCGTGGTGAAGAGGCTCTTGTGTCTGAGGAATTAGCCCTTCGGTCCTTCTTCCTCAGCACCGAACCCTAATTACCCCCCATTCCTTTTTTTCCCCTCCCGTTGGTTTCCCCCCCCCCCCTCACCCTTTTGGTCCCACCCCTTTACACCTCCCCTCCCCTCCCCTATCCCATCCTCCCCATCCTCCCACTTTTTTTTTTTTTCCATTCCTCCTCCTCCGCCTCACCCCTCCCTTTTGCCCTATCCCTCTTTTTTTAGCTTCGTGATTTCTTCCACGGCGAGCTAGTTCCTAGTTAGGGGAAGGGACAACCGGGTCCATACCCATTCCGTTGAGGTTCTTGGGGTGGCGTAGTTGCCGTGGGATCGTGGATTGCCTAGGGATGACCCGATCTCCCTCTCCTGTATCCCGAGTAGCTTAGGGTGTCTTTTGGGCGACGGTGTATCTCATGGAAGCCACCTTTCGATTCCGGGGGTGGTGCATGAAGAGGTATGCTTTGTGGCGGATATCCGGCCGCCTCGTCTTTTGTCCACCGAGGTACTCGGCAGATTTGTAGGTTGCTATCCAATGTGCTGGTTTACTGGCATGAAGGGTAGGGTATGGCACGGGTTCTCATGCTGCATCTGCGCTACTAGGGTGTCGAGTTCCGTCTTGGGCGCAGGAGGGAGATTTCTGGCCCTTTCATTCCTCCTAGAACTATACCTCCCCCCCGTCCCCCCCCTTTTTTTTTCTTTTTTTTTATTTTTATTTTCTTTTCTTCTTTCCTTTTTTTTTCTTAAAACAAAAAGAAAGAAGTAAACCTAAAACCATGGCAGGCCCAGACCATGAACCTGGTACCCGCCCTGGCCCCTTCTTATACCGCAACCCCGTTCTGACCGCCGCCTCGTCTTTGGACCCTCTCTTCAGACATTCCTCTGCCTCTTACCTATCGCCGGTGCTGTTGCCTCACCCGCTTCAGGTACTGAGGCCATCGACGACTCCTACGATTATAGACCTTCGCTCTCCTCTGACTATGCTTCCGGGCCTTCGTACCCTCTAACGGTGCGCAATTTTCCAAATCGCCGACCCGTCCAACGTCGGACCAACTCTGGTCCCACACCTAAACGTCAACAGTGACGACAATTACCTTGCTGATGATACTTCTCCACCTTCACCTTCTCGTTCTTCTCAGAAACGATCGACACGTCCCTTTCACTACCTTCCACGCTCAGTTTCAGACTGACAAGTGACTAAATTCTTTCACTTTACGACCACTGTCCTCTACTGCCTATCTTTCTGACCATAGTATTGGCAAGGCACTCCTACGCCATGTTGGGTTAAAGATATTTCTTTTCAATGCTCTTAAGAGCGTACGGCGCATCAATTACGTACAAATGCTACCCAGGCTCGAGCTCACTCGTCTTTCCCAAATAGATACTGTTGCCTGTCACCCTTGAAAAACATCATTCCCTCAATTCTTGTATGGTACCGTTAATTTCTGCCCCATACCATAGTTCAACAAAATTTCCAGACATGTGGCAGTCCCGACATTCTAGACAGCTGGAACTCCAAGATCTCCCCAATCCTCAAGGATAGCCACTTAGTTCTTCTGCCCTGGCGAGAGATAACCCAGCAATGTGGCTCGTTAACTTTTGAACAGCCGAGAACTCCTCCATCCTCCGTTTATATATAGCAGACAATCGTTACAAGTTCGAAGTGATCCTAAACCACAACAGTGTAGAAATTGCCTGGCGATTTGGCCGATCCAGCGTGCGAAATATGCAGATCTATCGCCGAATTGCCCAGTCTGTGTGGCCGATAACCATGCTAATACGTCCGCAATCGATCTCCCTCTTGCCTTAACTGTCCATGAGCTCACCCTACGTACTCTCAGCGCGTTGTCATTCATATAATCGAGCAGGGAAATCCGTTACCTCAAAGAGACAAAGGTCTCCCTTATGCCCATGGCATTTCCATCTCCCGCCTCCAAGGGAAGACTTCCTTCCCACGTGTTTCTTAATTCCCGTGTTTCAAAACGTCCCCCCACTTCGGGTATCCATCTTCTACAAACCCACCTCTGTGGTACCTCCCCATAGTAATCACCACTCCCTGTAATCTAATCCTTTGCTGTCCTCGGTCAGACGTCCCTACTATCAACGCCTCAGTCTAATCTCGCTTCCTTCGAGTTCTCACCTTACAAGCCTCAGTATGTCGAGAGACCTGTCGTACGACAGACCTCTTCCCAATCGGTCCTCTCTACTTCTCAAAAGTCAAAAAAAGGTCCTAACAACCGGTTCCTACCCATCTTCCACCTATCCTCCTCATTTTACCCTCCCTGTCTCTGTCCTAGTTCTTCCCCTCTCACTATGGCTCAGTTTCAAGTGCAGAGGTTTCACCTCTATCCTCGTAATGTACCTCCTCCCCTGTGTCCCTCCCAAGTGTTCTCCTCTTCTGCCACCTCCCAGTTTCCTGTCTCTTCTGTCCCCTGCCACGCTTCTCAGTTCCTCCACCCTTTCGCCCCCCCCTCCTTGGTACAGTTCCAATACAGTTCAACATACCATCCTCCCCCTACCATTCCCAATATTGTCTCCCATACGACATCTCTGAATTCCGAAACACTTGAAGCAATCTCTGATATATGCAGAGACTCACACCATCAAGGGGGGTGAGATGGGACACTGATCCACCTTCCGCTCTTTCACTCTCTTGCTCCAACTGCGCAAACCTCCTTTCTTCACACGCACTCCGTTCCTTCGCTTCCTTGAACATTTCCACTGCCTCCGCATGTGGACTTTTCTAACCCTTCTAGTCAGTAGAACCCTTACCTGCGGATTTCAAGTAGCTTTATCATGGCCAATCATGGCCTGTTTTACAGTGGAATTACGCGGCCTCAGGGAAACGGGGTGAGCACAGATGTTATTCTCACCAGTTTGCCCCTGTTGGTGTTTTGCTTACAGGAAACCAAAATTACACTCTGCTGGTTATTTCCTCAAAGTCTTGGCTATAATTTATGTATTCTTCAGATCCTTTTCCTGATAGGTGGTAACCTTTAATGAAAGTGCCCTTCTCCTTTCTCCGACTGATATTCCGTACCGATCAGCGATTTATTCATTACTGTTTCGCTGCATTACACAGCAGCCCTATCCACTTCAAGGTGGTATACACTCTGTTCTTTTATCTCTCTCTTCCCGGGCATTATCTATTCCGGATTTGCCTTCCTTGTTTCGTCATACCGCCATCCGGATTCTGTTACTTGGTGAGTTTTAATGCCCACCATTTCCTCTGGGGAGGGTCTCGCTGTGATTCCCGGAATTCAGTTAGAGGCTTTTCTTGCACCCACCCCCTCCATGTTTAAAATACAGGTACTCACACCCATTTTGATCCTCGGACTCATACTCTCTCTTTGCCTCGATCTCTCAGTTTGCCTCTTTCCTCCGCCGCATTAGTCTTTACTGGTCTGTTCTCCCCGGACGTTACTTACAGTGATCATTTCCCAATCATCTTACTTCCCCTTCATATTCGCCACCTCTTCGCACCCCACGCATGGCAATTTAAACGGCAAATTGGAACCTTTACCCACACCTGACTGTTTTTCGGAAAAGTTCCTTCTTCGTCCTCCATCGATGCGCTTTTACACAACCTCTCTCGTCCTCCGTTTTCACCGCAGCTTCTCATTCTATACCCAACTTCGGGAAAGCAGGCATTCTCAGAAATGCGTGCCTTGGTGGTCTTCCTGCTTGTGCTCGATGCAGTACGTTTGAACGCGCTGCATGGGGCAGGTACCGTACAATAGAACCACAGAGCGACTCCTTGATTTTAAACAGAAGCTGCATCGCTCGCCGTGTCATCCGTGACGCTAAACGCACTTGCGGCGAGATTATGTCCGCCACCCTATCACCACTGCTTCCCTCTATGAGTGCAGTCTGAAAAAAGTACGAAAAAACCTGATGGTAAATTTTCTGCCTGACCCGGCTCCTGATCTGCGGAGTTGCCGGTGTTGATATAGCAAACACCACTAGATGTTGCCAATGAAATTGGCAATCAATCTGGGTCCTATTCCTCAGGACTTCCATCTATGCCCGCTCATTCTTTCCTCAAAGTCTGCCAAAGTTAGAACCCTTGGACTGTTTCTTCTCTCAGAAGAAGAACAGTATAATGTGCCTTTTACACTGCGGGCTCAATAACTGGAGGCAACACTCTCAGCTTGTCGACCATCATGGCAGCTGGGCCCGACGACATTCATATTCGAATGCTACAACATTTACATCATTCAGGCCATGCAGTCCTATTACGCCTTTTACAATCTTATTTGGTCACAAGGAGTCTCACAGCTGTGGAAATCCGCCATGTTCCTCCCTTTCCGCAAACCAGGCACTACGGGGACAAGAAACCGTTCCCACTATCGTCCCATTGCTCTTACCAGTGCAAGTTTGCAAAGTAATGAACGTCTAGTAAAGTAGACG